ACTATATATAGCTAAGCAAGGTAGTTAAAAAATAAATTAAGTAGATCAATATTATCATATTAGCCTTTATTATATATATATATATTAGAAGTCAACATTACCAGAAGTATTAATACTCCAATTGTTTACTGCAAATAATATTCCAAGGCTTGTTGTTCCAACCATCCCATGAAATGTGCCATCTATCTTGTATTTTTTAATATTTAACTATCAATAATATGGAATCGCAACGAATTTTAGTTACATCTTAAAGAATGTACGAGAAAACAGCATCAATCCTAGACCTAACAATCTTTCCTACAAATAATAATTATGTAAGGTGCTGGGGAATGCATCAAAATCCTACGTTGTAAATTACTTGTAATAGTGCAATAATTTAAATTAAAGGAAATAAATAGTTTTAAGGGTTATGTGTAAAAAATCCTTCATAATATACAAAATGTGCAATTATTCTCTTATTATTAGAAAAACTCTCCTACCTTTTTCAATTGGTGCAAATAGGGATAAATCTTAATTTTGATAATAAAATTAATAAGTTAACTTTACATTATTATTAACAAAAAAAAAAAAAAAAAAAAAAAAACACTCAAACAAAAAGACAAAATGTCAAAATTATCTTTAAATTCATATATGATTTTCCTTCTCAACCTGCCATAACATAACAGTACTATATATATATATATAAATCTTAATTACCTTTTTCAATTGGTGCAAATAAGGATAAATCTTAATTACCTTTTTCAATTGGTGCAAATAAGGATAAATCTTAATTTTGATAATAAAATTAATAAGTTAACTTTACATTATTATTAACAAAAAAAACTCAAAAAAAAAAAAGACTAATTATCAAAATTATCTTTAAATTCATATATGATTTTCCTTCTCAACCTGCCATAACATAACAATACTATATATACATATATAGATTCGTGCTTGTCCTGTATGTCTACACTGAGCTATTTGTAACCGGTTTTTAATTTTTACTATATGTACACTTTATTCCCTTATCTCACTTCACAAACCAAATAAAATATAGTACCATAATAAAAAGTAAAAAATAAAAATAATGTCTTCTTGGTAACATATTGCTGAGAAAAAAAATATTAGAAAGATTTTTTTTGAATAGGTCTTGAAATATATCCAAACAAAATCATTTACTGTTCAAATTTATACAAAATTGGTAAGGGTATTTTTGTTACACAAAAATTAAATTAAAAACTCAATTTAAAGCAGAGCATTCGAAGTTATATAGATTTGTAAATAGATTTAATTGTATTGAAAAGCTGTAGGCCTCCTAAGACAGATAATTTTCTGTTCACCGATAAGACGTGGAATGTAAAATTTGTCAAATCACTTATATGTGACCTAGACACACACACCATGTGTTTTTGTAGATGTCATCATAGACGTACACAAAATGTTGTAGTATTTGGTTGATTGAAAATGTGCCTTAATTGGGACCAACATAATAATAGTAGCCCATTGCCTAAATTTGTCATGATCGGAATGCATTAAATTAAAGAGGACACCTACCCAATAAACATATAGCGGCATTAAAATTTCCAAGTAAAGCAGGTGATCATACCTTAGTGGGTTAATGACTATTATTATGGTAAACAAAACACACACCTAACATGGTATATGCAATGTGTAACGAATAAGAGAACAGTCTTACCTCAACAATATAATTGATGACCCCAACCTACAAAATGGGCCACCTTTTTACAAATATGGCCATTTTTTCCAACCTGGACACACCTTAGCTGTAACTTACAATTGTTGCTGCTCTCCTACCACCTGTAGACCCTCTTTTCTCCGATGCCTCCCATAGTCCCATTCCTGTTGGAGACACACACACTACACTAAACAATTCCCGCCACAAACTTCTTCATTTTGATTCATTTGAAAAATTGAGTGGCTTAAAAGATATATATATATAATTGGAGGTGTTTGATCTTGTACATGTTGCAAATATTGACTCTTATCAAAATTTTGATTCTTATTAGGGTTTGATTCATTCAATATTTTGAATGATATAAATCATAAAACAGTCAATTTGGTGAGAAATTATTAAGGGTGATTTGTGACTATATTAAGATGTTATGTAATTAAATATGTCAATTTTATTTAATTTTTTTTTATAATAACTTGGAAACATCCCATTTAATTTGAAACTATTACAAAGTCAATAAGTATTAAATTAGGCAAATAAAAAAGTTTTTAATTAGGGCATTCTAGTTTCAACGTCACATCTCAAACATTGAATAGTGAGCTTTCGGATAACAGGCTCTCAATTCCACTCATACTCGGTATCCTCCTCCATGCTAATATTACTCTAGAAATAAATAGGGGAAATATGTAATATGATGATTAAATAAATGGTGGGGATCAGATCATATGAGAGAGTACATACAATACAGACCTCATGGTCATCGTCATAGGCCACAGTATCCATATTATGGTCCACAAACGAAAGAAGGTCATTTGTCTAAAACTCTGGTTGATCTGGACATTGAGTTGGGACCCAATGTCAAAGGGGTGCCACGTGGAGACAGGCTGGAGGGGTTAAGCGATGTGGCATGAGAGGTGGGCCCATCCACGAGATTGTAGGAACTGTCTTTTATAAACGTGGGGCCTAAGAAAGGGAAGTTAGAGAGCCTTTAAGACAAACCCAACTGGCCATCTATCCATATTTCATGTGCATTCATTAATCAATGTGGGTGAAATAAAAAGCTAAGCCAACCCCGAAAAGGAAAAGCATGATTCTTGTGGCTTACGATAGAAGGGTCACTTTCTCCCCCCTATAAATATGCTTTCCTGCTCAATTACTATTTTGTCCTCCACCTTCTTACATGATTTCATATTCCACTGCTTTATTAATTTGCCTAGCCATTATTGCCATGTGGCCATCCAAGTTAGAACAAACAATTAATAACCTACTTAAATTCTAAGTTACTAATTCTTACATCAAGAATCATACCACTATTCTAAAACCCACTAAATGAACTCCATGATATTCCATAAAAGTTAAATTTATCTTTCCTATATATAAATTCATTACCATAGTTATTGCCATTATTGATGTTGATATGGGTCAGTCAATTAATCTCTTCAATAAACTTTCAAAACAATCTTCTTCTTCTTTTTCCATTTTTTTTTTTGCAAGATAAGTCATTGAATTAAAAGGAAAAATGCAAGAAAAAAAAAATTCCTGAAGTTTTTATCAAGTAAGCACAATATTATGTGGTATAAAAGTGAGCTATGCAGTTTCAAAAGTGAACAATTTATCTCCTTACATTTTACCCCGGCCACTTTCTTTTCATATTGTGTTATACTATATTTTTTTATGGACAATACTTAAGTCCTCATTAGTAATAATTTACAACATACTCAACGCTTATGTGGGTTAATAATAAATAGACATGTGATTTTTAATTACCAAATCAAATATCGTGGGTAGATATTCACTTATCAAATGAGAGATAGTGATTTAATTACCATCTATGATTTGATAATTAAAATTTGACGTATCCATTTATTATTGATCCACATATGTTATAAATTCTTACTAGTGAGTACTTAAGTATTGTCCTTTTTTTATTAATCGCAAAAGTACCCTCCAATATGATTGTTATACCCCTTCTTCCTATAAAAGACTTTTGCATTCATTTGTTCTAATCAAAGCTATTTTTGCTCTCATTTTCATCTGCATCTGCTCTCTATGCTTTCCCTCCATGGTCATCTCATTTAAATATATATATGTTTTTTTATTTTATTTATTATAGTAAGCTATATTACACACACTCATATACCATAATTGTTGGACCATATATACATGTTTATGTGTATTTCTTTAACTTTTGTGTTTTCTAGCTACTAGAAGAGTTTTGGGAGTTAGTATATCAAATGGTATATAATGTAATACGATATAGCTGATGATACAACATAACCATAAAAAGTATGTAGTCAAAGCCTCTCTTAAGTATGATTTGAAATGTGGGATTATAAATCCGTTTTTGACCTCAAAGTCTTCTTCATTCTTCACCTTAAAATAACTTTTAACGATTTCATTTGCTTAATTAGTTAGTTTTACGTTGTGAATGATTTTTTGTCTTTTTACTCTTTACTGAACCAGGCAGAGACTTATATGAGGAGTTACTATACTTAAGTCAATTTAGGTCATGTAATATCTCAGTTTATTATGAAGGGTGTTTAAGATATTTTGCCTTTTAAATTTTTTATATAAAAAAATTATATATGGGAGTAGTTTAGTAAATACATAATGATATCAGAAATAAAATGGTAGGAGGTGAAATGTAAAAGGGCAAGTTGCTCACTTTTGAAATTATAGGGACTGATTTCACTTTTATACTATATGAAGTATTTTATTCACTTGTAAAACTTGAGAGATCTTTTTTTTGCACTTTTGTCGAATTAAAATAAAGGCAATAAATCTTGCAATTAATTGATTAACCATCAAAACTTGCATGAGGTTTTCAACTCTCTCAAAATGGAATTTATTAGACATCATAATTGAAATCCTAAATCTAGTAAGATTTGAAGGGTAAAAATTTAATTTAAATAAAATCTAAATTCAAAGATAATGTTTATTTAATTTTTGAAAAATCCTTATTCTCTGGTTACTTAAGCATGGGATCTTAAAGTAAAGTAATCATAATTTGCCTAGTCGGGTTATGTTGGTGGGGGTTGTTTTGCTAGAAGTTATGGAGCGTTTTAGACATTAAAAAAATAAAAGAGCAAGTTGGTAAGTTGGGTCACACACAAAAATAATGAAGTGGGAGGAGGGTATTTCACATTCTCGTTACTTTCTTTTGGGGGCAATTTGCTGGCTTCTTATCCTTTTTTTTATTTCCTGGTATTAACCCGAGGGCCCGTGATACGTGACCGGATACAACAGGTGACAATGATTCATTCACCGGTTAAAGCCAGTCGTTTTCCCTGTTAATAGTAGTTTAGAAGGGCTGGGTCATGAATGATAGATATTAGATATAGTCAGTAGGCCTTAGCCATCTAGAGAGAGAAACAGAGGGAGAATCTGTGGTGCCAGCGATGAAGTTGAAGGATCAAAGCTTTCTCTGAGGTCAAAGCTGGCATTGGTTTTGTTCGCTCCACCATTGAATCACCATTCTCTCTCTCTCTCACTCATATGGAGATTTAAATGCCCTCTCCTCTCCTCTCTCTCCACTTCTAGTCTCCCACTCTCTCTCTCTCTCTCTCTCTCCTCTCCCTGTTCTATTTCCCTCCTCCTCCTCCTCCTCCTCCTCCTTAATGGAAAGAAAAAACTGAGATCTTTTTGGAGAGAGATTTATAGATACAATCATACAAATACATGTAGAGTGAGAAAGAGAGTTAGAGGTAAATGGTTGATCCTCTTACACCAACCATGGCTACATCTCCCTCTCTCACTGCTGGAGAAAGGAAGCCCTGGTGGCTCAGCAACAGAAAGGTAAGAGTCAACGCCTTCCATCATCCATTAATCAATCCAATTGTTTCACATCATCGATCTCTCCCATTTTCTTTCGGATTTCATAACAAATATTACTCACATTTCAAATATTGTTTCATTGAATCAGATTGTTGATAAATATGTTAAAGACGCACGACTCCTTATTGCGACTCAGGAACAGACCGAGATCGCTTCCGCTCTCAATCTCCTCAACGCGGCTCTCTCGCTCTCTCCTCGCTTCGAACTCGCTCTCGAGTTGAAAGCTCGATCGTTGCTCTATCTCCGGCGATTTAAGGACGTCGCAGATATGCTACAAGACTACATTCCAAGCCTCAAGATGGCCTCCTCCGACGACTCTTCTTCATCTCTCTCCTCCGATAACTCGTCTCAGCAGTTCTCCAGAGAGCGAGTCAAGCTTCTCTCATCAAGCAACTCGTCCGGTGACTCCTCAGATCACGATCATCCCTCTTTCAAGTGCTTCTCTGTTTCTGATTTGAAAAAGAAGGTCATGGCCGGCCTCTGTAAAAATTGCGACAAAGAAGGGCAATGGAGGTAATTTACTCTCTCTGGTTCCATTGATATTTCACTGTTTTTTTTTTCGATTCTTGAAATTCAACTCAGACATAGCTTGTAGATTACGCCTAATCAGCGCTCGCCATTAATGTATTCAGCTTTCGTTTTTCTTTATTAATAATTTTTTTTTTTTAAAAAGCCAACTTTTATATTATTACTCGTGTAGTAGGTATTTTGGTAATTCTAAAGTACTGTTAATTCGGATTGTCCACGGGTTGAGTAGAGATTCAACGAGTTGGGACTGACTCAGCCTGTGTATGAACTCTACAGGTACTTGGTTCTGGGTCAAGCTTGTTGCCATCTGGGTCTAATGGAGGACGCCATGGCCCTCCTCCAGACCGGAAAACGCCTGGCCACGGCTGCCTTCCGTCGCGAAAGCATCTGTTGGTCGGACGACAGCTTCTCGTTCTCCAAATTCCCCATCCCCGGAGAAATTACCACCGCCAATGAGCCACCAACACCTCCCAAGACAGAGTCGGAGAGCATTTCCCAACTCCTCAGCCACATCAAGCTCCTACTCCGCCGGAAGACTTCTGCTATTGCAGCCCTGGATGCCGGGCTCTACAGTGAAGCCATCAGACACTTCTCTAAAATCGTTGATGGCCGCCGTGGTGCCCCTCAGGGCTTCCTCGCCCAATGCTACATGCACCGAGCTCTGGCCTATCGATCTGCCGGTCGAATTGCTGAGGCTATTGGGGATTGTAATCGAACTCTTGCTTTGGACCCAAGCTGCATTGAGGCTCTTAGTACCAGAGCCTCGCTTTTCGAGACCATCCGATGCTTGCCGGATAGTCTTCACGATCTCGAACACTTGAAGCTTCTATACAACTCGATTCTACGTGATCGAAAACTACCGGGTCCAGCTTGGAAGCGACAGAACGTTCGGTACATAGAAATTCCCGGGAAGCTCTGTTCATTAGCCACAAAAAGTCAAGAACTGAAGCAAAGGGTTGCTTCGGGCGAAACTGGGAATGTAGATTACTATGCACTGATTGGATTGAGACGAGGTTGTTCAAGATCTGAATTGGAGAGAGCCCATTTGTTACTCACTCTTAGGCACAAGCCGGATAAGGCAACCAATTTCATCGATAGGTGTGAGTTTGCAGACGAGCGTGATGTGGATTCGATTAGGGACAGAGCAAAAATGTCGGCATTGCTTCTTTATAGGTTGCTTCAGAAGGGATACAGCAGCGTAATGTCAACAATCTTGGAAGAAGAAGCTGCAGAGAAGCACAGGAAGAAGGCTTCAGCTGCATTAGCGGCATTACAAGTTGAACAAACCAAACTGGAAGCAGAGTCGAGCACAATCTCGAAGACGACACCGGCGCCACTGGAGGTGTCGAATAACAATCGGATGGAAAACAAAGGCACAACAGCAGCATCATCAACGGTGTTTCAAGGGGTGTTTTGTAGGGACATTGCAGCAGTTGGGAACTTGTTATCTCAGGTTGGTTTTAACCGTCCGATCCAGGTGAAATATGAGGCATTGAGCTGCTGATGATGATGGATGGTTTAGAGCATAAAGTTTTGGCAGTCAGAGGGTGGTTGAAATGAAATGAATTCGAATTAAATCACAGATGATGTTAGCAGCAGCACACGGGGAATTCTGATCGGCCTTTGTACAAAAGGGAAATTTTTTTTACTGCCAAGAAAATTTTGTCACCCATTTAATTTCTATATCTAGATGTACAGAGTTAATGCAGTATTGAATTTTATTTTGGATTTGGTTACCCTTAATTTCAAATTTGGTGTCATTTTCTTTCTTTGAATTTTCCATCCCAGAAATGGGTGGGAGGGAGGTGAGAGAAATCATGAATGAATTCAAAAGGTGGTAAGTTGCAGAAAGAGGATGATGGTGTTTTGGCTTCTCTCTCGTGTCTTGTCTGCAAAGGCCATTACCATTAGTACTAGTGTGTCAGGCTTATATCCACCTCACAACACACACAATAATGCCAAATGGCTACCAGCCTTTTACATTCCACTAGATTTATTGCGGTACTTTTGCTATTCTACACTTCATATTTTTTTTTAGCTTCATCCCAATATATTGTTATTTGTCTCGTTGCCACCAGAGTTTAAGCGTACTATACTGGCCAATATGGCATGGTATTCATGTCATGCAAGTCCACCATTGTCTTTTTCAGCTTTTGGATGTGATGTAAGAAACAAAGAATGGGTGGCTCTCATTAAAACCACGCCAACGTAGTATTTGGATGGCTCTCATTAAAACAACACCAACGTAGTATTTGGAGATGGGTTCTTCCATCTTTTCCTTGCTATTATTACTATTCTGGTCGGGTAATTAGTGCTTTGGACCTGGGGCCTAGTAGCTTTTGACCTTTTGGTGGTGTCAAATCAAGTAAAATATACTGTGTAGTACTTTTTTTTTTTTTTTTTTCCTACGGTGAAACAAATAAATAGTGTAAAAAATAAACCATTTTCTTAATATTATTAAGACGTTTCTTCCTAAAATACCAAAAATAAACATATTTTATTTTGTTAAGATGAATCTCATCTCTATTTTTCCATTCCTCTGTTTCTATAAAATTCTTCTTCTCTTTCTTAGTATAGTAAGTTATTTTTTTGAAAGAAAACAATAACAGAAAAAGAAAAAAAATAATTACTAAAAAGGAAGGAAGATAAGTGGATGATACCAAAAAAAAAAAAAAAAAAAAAAAATCAATTATTTGTTTATTTGTTTGATAAATTGTTTGGGTTTAATCTTACGTTCATTTGTTTGCTTCTTGCGTAAATAATTTGGGTTTAAAGTAGATATAAATATTTGCAGATCAATTTAGAATATGTTCTGAACTGACATGATTTTTTTTATTTATTTAATTGTTTACTTTTAAGTTTATTTGTTATGCAAATACCTTGGTACATAACATCCCAAGCAATTTGTAATTGAAGTCGATATAAGTTATACCTGACATCTCAACATAATCCTGGATGATAGTCATTGACTCTAATCGAAGAGTAAAATCCTAACAAAATTCCAAGTAGTAAGAAATCTGTTTCGTGCATATGTTATATGTATAATCCTAACAAAATCCTACTTAAAAAAATCCCATGTAGGACGTATTTTATTTCATGCTTATGTTTTGCAAACACGAATAGATAGAGAGAAGAACACCGACATAGGAATTATGAATCAATGAACCAACAAATTTAAGACAAAGTGAAGAAAAATTGACTGTTATCACATGAATTCAAGTTGAACCACGTAAACAACATGAATTTGGAATGAGCCACCCCAAAAATCAATGAACCAACAAATTTAAGACAAAGTGAAGAAAAATTGATTGTTATCACATGAATTCAAGTTAAACCACGTAAACAACATGAATTTGGAATGAGCCACCCTAAATGTACGTAGTTTGTTTCATACTTATGTTATACGTACAATTCCAACAAAATCCTACTAAAAAGAGTAACTGTATTAAGTAATTGAGTAAGAGAAGGATCATGAACAAATATGAAGAGATAGAGAGAGGAACACCAACACAAGAATTATGAATCAATGAACCAACAATTTTTAGATAAAGTGAAGAAAATTGACTATTATCACAAGAATTTAATGAACCAACAATTTTCAGATAAAGTGAAAAAAATTTACTGTTATCATAGGAATTCAAGTTGAACCACGTAAACAATATGAATTTGGAATGAGCCAACAATTGTTCAGATAAAAGGAACAAATTTGACGATAATCAAATGAATTTCACTTGAACCCTCAAAATAAAATACCAGAGATCAAGTAGAGAAAGGAGGAGAAATAAACCAGCCCCAAAATAAAATACTAGAGAGCAAGTAGAGAGAGGAAGACGAAACAAACCAGACCCACGTTATCTATTAAAATAATTTCTGTATTTTGAAAATAATGTTTAAAGTTTTTATATATATGGAATACAACGTAAAAGGTGTGGTGAAAATTTAGTTACTCACTTTTTTTAATTGACATGGTGCTTTCGTGGCCACTTATTTCGTATCGGATGGAACTGGTCACTGTGAGACGGGAGGGGATTTTGCACCGAATATGACAGGGAAGATAGGAGAGAAGAGACAATGAGAGAAAGGATAATAAGATAAATGAGTCATCTTTCTTCTTTTACCAATTTTCATCCTCTAAATATGGGCTGAAGGCAGGAGGAAAGACAAGTGGAACTATTATGAAAGTTTTAACTCACAATACCATCTTAATTTATACAAGTTTTAAATTACAATATTATATTCTATAAATTATAATATTATAGATAGTGATGGATAAAACTCATTATTCCATTCTCTTATAACGAACCCAATAAATTGTTAATTTATTCTACTCTCTTTCATTCAGCCGAACAAAAAGAGTGGAAAATACAATCTCTTCTCCATTGATGTCTCATCCATCATTTCTTCTCTCCCTTCCATCTAAAATTTTTCTTTCCTACCGAACGAAGTATAAAACAAATGACGAATACAGATGCGGTGGTAGACAAATTTCAAAAAGTGTGACTCACTTAGTGGTCTTAGAACAAAACGATGTCAAAGATCGTTCTTCCCTAAGGCTTAACTTCGCCTTGTTCTTTAAGGTTCTCAAGAAGCCACGCTTCTCATTGTTAATTCGTACGAGGATTCAGTAATTTTATGTTTTTGTATTGAATGTAGCTCTAAGATTTGGAATGATTAGGAGATTACAAATTGTGGTTTGATAAATTTACAATAATTAGGGTTCCATATGTTCAAATTCTTTGCTGTTGGAGGAAATTCTGAATTTATGTTCTAAGGTTTGAAACTTTGAATGGTGAAAATGAGAGAATTGGGAATTTTCTTTGCTGTTGGATGAAATTCTAAATTTATGTTCTAAGGTTTGAAACTTTGAATGGTGGAAATAAGAGAATTGAGGTTTCATTTAGGTCAAAATAATTTTTGTTGCTCTCTTCGTTGATTTTTTTTTTTTTTTTTTTTTTTTTTTTTTTTTTTTTGGGATTTTTGACATTTCTCTCTTTTCTTTGTTCTAATTGTTGTTGTAGTTGTTAGTGTGGTACTCTCTTTGAGATGTGGTTGAAGTTGACGTTAATGCTGTTGTTTGAGCCACTGACCTTTTATGGAGACTTTAATAAAAAATATTTAATATAATTATTTATTATATTTATAATGATAGTTATTATTATATGAGTGAAAATATATTTATAGGGGATATTATTTCAAACATTATTTCTATAATTTAAATACCTTAGCCGTTACACCTTCTACTCTATTTATACTATCTATATAAAGCATCTATGAGAGGACTTTTGAGGGTGGATTGTAAAAATATAGTGATGTTTTATAAAGCTGTGAACATATTTTATCTTTTTCTTGAGAGTAATTTGGATATTGAGTTTATGAGTAACGAGACACATATAGACTTAAACATAGTATTTCTGTGGTCATGCACGTGGAAGAGGTGCCGCTGCGAGCTGATAGAGTTATATTTCGGAGCTGACTAATTTTCCCAATGCCCACACAAAGGGGAGAACTATCAGCTTTACGGTCAATATGTTTACACATACCTCAACAATCAAGTTAACACTTTCTTACATATTTTACTATGTCATTTTGTTTAATTGAAAGTACAAAGAATTTTCCCCAATTCTAGAGAGAGAAACTTTACACTTCCAAAATATTTTCCAACTACTTTTCCCTCTCATTTCCATCTATTTATAGACGGTTACAATCACTCCTGGGCTGGACCTATCTTCTTTCCTTTTGTTTGGGCCCAACTCCTTTCATCACAATGTGGGCTTCCTTAATGACTTCCTGGACCTGGGCCCATTCAGCGAGGACTTGCTCCATCTCGGTTGCCCATACCCGACCTGTTCTTATCAATATGAATCATACCAAGCCCGGGTCACTTCTGGTGTCTTCATCTGCCCCCATAATCTCTCCCTTAATTCATTAGGGTGAGATTATTGAAAAGACACAATCTTGGTCTGACGGCTCGGAGTGATGGCACAGGGAATCGAACGGCTGGCACGAAGACCCAGACTCCGAGATCTATTGCGCTACTTTTGCCTTAACCTTTCGAATTCTGTGTCGCCTCTATTTCTTCTATTTAAAATCCCTAATCCTCTCAATCCTTGTCTTCCTTTAACACATCCTACTTTTATCCTCCGTTGTTGTCTTCTTGGGTCTCTTCTGTTATCTTCCTGCATTTTTCGGCGAGCTTTCTTCAGTTTCTCCGGCGAGTTTTTCTTTCGCGATTTGGCTCTTGTGCCGTTGCAGAGTACTTCACAAACTCCTTCCTCAAGGTCAGTTTTTTTTTTTACTATCCTTTTTGAAAGAAAAATTTTCATTATCAGAGATTCCTCCCCTTCTCCATGGCTCCCCCTAATTTGAATGCCATTCGTTTCAAAAATAGCATTCCCAATGACGTTTCTCTCAGGATCTACCCCACAAACCTGGATGGGAGCTCTGGTGAGGGTCGCCTTCCTGGGGAGATTTTATTCTCTGCCGTCCACTTAAACGTCATTAGGTTTCCCATACATCCATTCTTTTGTAATATCTGCAGCAAATTGGGGCTTTGCCCTTTGCAAGTTAACCCTAACTTCCTTAGGGTAATTTTAGTCCTTCTGCTCTTGAACCGTGACAGGAGTCTCAATCTTGACGTCATTGACCTCCTCCTCTGCTACCGAATTAACAGAATCAAACATAGTGAGTTGTACTATCATTTCTTTCCTATTGAAAAACGATCAATCTGTACGGACAA